GTACAATAAAAAATTGAATTTGAATTTGTTTTTAATTTTATAAATTAGAGAGACTTGAATTAAGTTTATATATATAATCCTGTATAACATTCGCAGTTGGAGTTTTATTTAAAATAATTGTATACATTTTTTATTTAAGATATTTTTGATATAACTTTCTTTTTCTTTAAAATTTTGATATTTCAAAGTTCAACCGCTTTTAATTCAAAAAATATAATTTATTTCCAGCAAAAGTCAATGAAATATTTCGCTTTTAAATAAATTGACTTTCACTCTTTAAACACCTTAAGCCGCATTCGCTTTGGGCCTAGAAGTGAAACACATTTCGTTACTCGTTATTTCAGCTGTCAGGCAGCTGTTATTTCAGATAAAAAAAGAAACACTCAATGCCAAATGCTGACAGCCACAGTTAAAGACAAGACACGGAAGAGCAAGCCGAATGCGACAGGCCACATATCATTTAGAGATGCTGGCGCAGGTACGACAAAATGATGGCGGCAAAAGTTGCTCGTAAAGTGACAACAATTGCCACGCCCAGCTGCCCAGCTGCCTACTGCCTGCCGTTAACATCTTAAGCAGGCGCAGCCGTCAACCACATGTCACAGACGGTTTGCCTACCAAATTAGATGCAAAAAATGTTTTGTTGGTGTTTTTTTTTTATTGCCTTCTGAAAGACTTCGCTGAAGTTCCGTTAGCAAATTTAATGCTGCTATGCACAATTTAAGATGCTTACAATTAATGCCAAGCAACTAGGAGCGCAAATGGCGCATATTACTCATACGTACCGTTACACACATAAATTTATGGCTGAGCAACAAACTGCTTCTTAAGACCAAAAGCACTCACCTGCAAAGAACAGAAAAAAGATATGTATATAAATAGAAAGTTGAGTGGGAATTGTGTGAGAAGGGAATTCGCTTGACCAGGGCCAAGTAAACACCTGAATCGGGGCGTTGCTAAAAGGGTAGGGCCAAGCAGCTTAACAGCAGCAGGCTGTTAATGTTTTTCAATAGCTCTTGATATATGAGCCTCGAGTGAGTGTGTTTTTATACACTGTATGTGTGGGAGTGTGTCTCGTTTGTTGTGTTTTCTAAAAGGATTTTATGCCTTTGCTGTGTGACAAGGATTGTATTGCAAGGCGATAGCCACACAGAAAGCAAAGACATGTATGTGAAAACTTTATGGCAGAAAACTGAGAAAATTTAAATTTCCAGGAAAATATATTACTTAAAGATTATGTAGGAGTTCGTGGAAAAGCTCTTTGAAGAGTAAGCTATTATTAAAAAGATTTTGTTATTTATTTAATTTCTTTTAGTTTCCTTCTGACTTATATAAGAGGACATATAAAGAATTACAACTAATTTAATTCATTTAAAAGCTAAAAAAGCAATTATACATTATTAAATATTTTTATCAAAAATTTCCACCTTAAAAACTAAAAGCAAATATTTTAAATAAATAAAAATATTTTTTTTTAACCTTCATATGTATTTTGCTTATAATTAATAATAAAAGCATTTAAAGAAGGCTCACAAAAAAGTTCTTGCAAATTTTTTTTATTTTGAAAAATAAGAAGAAACTACAAGAAATTACAAATGTGTTTTACAAGTAATTAACGAAAAAAATATTCATTAAACAAAACTACCAAAATATATGTATGTAATTTATTTTGAATAAATAACAATAATATTTTAAATAAAAAATTAGAAAAAATTACCTTGAGTTAAATAATAATGTATTTTAAATATAACATAATAACTTTTTATAATATTTAAAAATAAAGAAACTTAAAACAATTTCCTTCATAAATATATTTTATTAACTTTTAAATTAACTTATTTTAAACTTCATTAAAAAAACACAATTTTTTAATTTTTATTTTCAAAACTAAAAACTCGTCACTGCAAGCCGTTAAGACTAATTAAAAAGTATTTAACAGACTCTCAATTAATGAAGGCATTAAAAATGCCCCAGCTGAAAGCCAGAGCCGCTGCCACAGGCTCAATTAATGTTTATCACTGCAATCAATGTCTGTCAGTAAAGCTCACGCAGTTGCTGACACTGCCAGAGGCAAAAATACAGAAAGAGCGAAGGAGCTGCACACAGACACAGATACCATAAGCTGCAGTATGACAAGCCAATTAGCTGGCGGCGCACATAATCACCTATCAAAAGGTGTCGATGCAGCAGCAGCAGCAGTAGGAGCTATGGCTAGGATACTGACAAAAAGCGAGCATAATTGAGTTATTTACGCTAATTGCCATACACACACAGACACACACACAATCTGGAGCAGGCTTTCAGCTACTAACATAAATTGCCGGAGCTGTGCGGTGGACCGCAAAGTTTGCACAGCGCACGTGACTGCCAAAACAGGCAAACAAGCTGAATAAATGAATGACTGACTGACTGAGGGATTGACTGACTGACTGCTTGATTGACTGGCTGCCTGTCAGACAGTCGAGGCGTCTCAACACGTCTGGCAGCCACACGTATCGCTGAGCCTTTCGAATTCATATTTCATATAAATTATAGACCGGGCCGAGGGCTGGGCGGAGGCATAAAACGTTGCCTGCTTCCTGTTGCTGTGCGCTGCACATCCGCTGCCAGTCTGCCAATTGCCACACACAAATTACTGTGCATGTGGGCGTGGCAGACAGTGAAATGCACAAGCCCTTCCAGCAAAGGCATGCCCCATTGGGCCACATTGAGCCACATTGAGCCACATTGCCGCAATGCAATTACATATATTCAATTTTCAACGTTCTACACAACATGGCTGGAGGTGGGGCAAGCAAATGTACTGGAGGCGCCTCTTGTTGCATGTGTCAATTTATTTCATTTGTGCGCGCAATTTACGTAGCATAAAAAATTGTCTCTCTTTTCTTTCTAAACACAAGCTTTTAGAAACAAGTTGTGCGAAATATTTGAGAGCAGAGAATGAAAATTTGATTTATTATGAATTTAATAATATTAACAAATAAAAAAATATTTTTATAAAAATAAATAAAAGTCTTTTCTTGCGCTAGTTTAAGATTATTGCAATAATTTAAATATATATTTTTAGTGCAAGTTTTGATATAAAAATTAAAACTTATTTTCTTACAAAATACGCAAATAAATATTATATTATGGCACAATTATTTATAAAATAATATAAAAACTTATATGCTTTTCATTTATATACATTTTGAGATAATAAAATAATAATAAAACATATATAATAAAACTAAAAAAAAAAAATTTACACCAAATTAAACGCTGAACTTATTTAATTAAATAAATTAATTCATGCATATTTTACATTTTCAATCTGATTTATTGAAAACTCAATTAAAATTTCACTTCATAAATTAAATTTCGCATTTAAGTATTAACAATTCAGTTCACGCGTGTTAAGTCGGCCTTCCTATGGCGCACATCCTGCCACAGGATGTGATTGATGACAGTTCGCAATCAACTCTGTGCAAGGATATTCAAAATTTAAATACACAAAACTTATAATAAATTATAGTCAAATTCTGTGCACAGAATATACATTTCTATGCACTTAAATAATCTGACAAATTGGCTAAACACAATTTTTGACTAAACTCATTAGGCATTAACACTTTGGGGCTATCTGCAGCCCATTCATCAATAATTTACCAATATTTACCAGCCCTGACTGTTAGCCAAGCTAATACGCATTAATGTCAACACATCTAGAGCCACGCCCACACCCTCGCCCCCGCGTTTAATTCGATGAAAGTAATGTTCGTTAAAGTTCGCCCAGCTTTACGTCGTTCCGTATTAATGTAATAAAACGTAGAAAAAAGATTGAGCCATAATCACGCAGACAACGGGATAACAGGATAATAAAGTTCAAGTGCTCAAACCAAATTAAAGTGACCAACGGCCTGTGACGTCCACAAAATTTCATTGTAGCTTTTATAGAGGACGCAGTCATCCGCACAACATGGCGTATGGGTGATTTCTGTTGCTCAACATTTAATTTATTAGAATTTGTGCAAAGGAAAATTAACGTTGGAATGCAACAAATAAACACATTTTATTTAAAGAAATTCTAAATAATATATAATAAAATCTAAGACGAAAAATAAACAAGCTAAATTCAATGACAAAGGAAAGCTTAGAATTTTGGCATGCAAAAGATTTGCTTTACGTAAGCGAATTAGGCGAATTAGAAATATTTGGAGAATATTTTGTGCTTTGTGTGCTAGAGATTATTGTTATGCTTTAAAGCAAATAAGATAATATAATATAAGTATAAGATGTTGTAGCAATTATTTATAGTATTTTTTAATTGAAATACGTTTTTTATTAAATTTTATATATATTTAGGAAAAAAATATTTATACAATAATTCATTTAAAAATATATTTTTGAACAATCTTAAGATAAATTATAAGGCCTAAGCTATATTGATATATATTTAATTTCGATTTTTATAGTTTGCAAATTTATTATTATTTATTTATTTTTTTTTTTTTCATTCAATGTAAAACAACTTTTTATTATAACTAAATTTTTATATTTATAACTTATAATAAAAATGAAATCATAATAAATTTACTAAATTTGAGTACAAACTAATTTAGCTTTACTCTAAGCACTTTAAACTCAACTTCTTAAAGGATTTCTTGCATCGAAATTCTCTGAAGTAAAGAAAATCTTTAGTCTTAAACAGCTTTGACACAAAACCATTAAAAAATAGAAGCCAAGCTAAATAAATATATTTATAAATGGCTTATAAGTGCGCTTCGATAAGCGCTCTTTATGCGCCATGAAATGAGGATATCAAGAGCAGGGCTGGAGTATCTGCTTCTGTCAGCTATGCACGGCGAAATAAAAGCAAATATTTATGCAACCTTTATCAGAATTTTTATTTGTTTTTTTTAGGATTGTCAGCAACGTGGCTGAAACCCAGTTGAACCAACCCCTTCACATTTTAGCTGTCAGAATTGAGGTCGAAATTCGCTTTAGAAGCGCCGACTTACCTTTCATCCAGACGCATGCTACTGCGACTTATGTCACTCCAGACGGACATGGAGCGTGGCCGCTGGAAAAATGATTTGGAAAAGCGTCGCACCGCGGGCATTTGCTGCGGCGGATAGCCGGCCAAATCGTTGAGCTCCTCGTGGAAGTTGACATTGCGTGCGTTGGCGCCACGTGTGGGCGATGCTATCGATGGCATCGAATAGCTATTCGTGTTCGTTTGATTATCGTCCGACATGCCCAATGCTGTATAACTCACTTGTAGATTGTGTGTCATCTCACAGATATGTACTCACAGATACTCTTCATTCACACTTCGCAATTCTTCACAATTTGCACTTTCACAATTTTCATAATTTTCACATTTTTTCGCGTTGCGTTCGTTGCCTTGGCATAGCTCGCTTCAAACTAAAATAGCAACAACAAAAAATATGTAAACTATGCCAGTCAGACATTTTAATTGTTTCTCTTAGTGCGAAATGCATTCATTTAACGCAATCAACTGGCAGCTGCTCTACTAAATGGACAACAATTGACTTGGTAGACATACGAGACATTGATAAATCGTTATGAACTCTGAGCTCTCTCTCGCTTTCTCTCTCCCTGCCTCTTGTTGTCTAATTGAGTGCAACATGCAAAAGTTCAGTAAGTCAACTGACTCAGCAAATCCATCAAAGCACGACCCAAAAAGCAAATTTCATAAGCTTTACGGAAGTTTTTTAATTTGCTTTCTTTATTTGTCACGTTTTTTTCATTCCTTCCTTCAGCTCGTAAACACGTCGCCAGGCGAAATATTATGAATTTTGAAATGAAAAGCATTTTAAATGCTCATGAATTCGTGATGAGCCTTTTGGCATTCATAGGTGCGTCTATCTGTGCGTCTTCTGCCTCTCGCCCATTTCATATGCATAATGATAATACACAATGCCTAAAGTATACCCGAACACGCACGCACACACACACACGCACAGCAAAGACTTCCTCAAGTTTGCTGCTTGGCTAGATGAAGCCGCCGGAATACCCCTAATTAAAGTGTTACCCACTTTTCAGTTGCTACTGTTGTTGTCCCAATTTCAGTTGCTGCTGCTGATGATGACGCTGTGGGCTTATACCCTGTACACATATGGCAGGGTATATATAATAAGCAACCAATATTGCAAATTAGCCTGCATTAAATTAATGAGAATCGAAGAGAAAGGCACTTTCCAAAGCTGAAATTAGCTATTGCTTGTGTTTTTTTTTAATATAGCGAATAGTTTTGGGTGAAATATGAAGATGGGAATCGAACTAATATGTGATCTAATCAAAAATAATGCAAAACTGCTTTGACATAATTAAATAATATTTATATAAGAAAAATTATTATATTGAATAAGGCAAGGAAATTTATGAGAAACGAGCTGAGAGATGGCGCCCAAATATTATGCTATAATATATATAATTATATAAAAAGAAATATAATAAATATAATATAATACATAAAAAAGAATATATAAAAAAATATAACTCAAATAAAAATTATTTTATATTTTTAAAAAAAATTTTAAAATTAATAACAATTGAACAAAATATGAAAAAAAAATTAAAAATTAAAAATAAATATAAAAAAAGGAACATTTTGAAAGAAAAAAAATTATTTTTGGAGTAAGGAATTTATATGATTTTCGAATATACATTTTTATTTTGTTGATGTTGCTTGGATTATAAAAATACTTTATAAAAAAATGTTATATATATAAAAAAAATATTGCTAAATGAATTTATATTGATTTAAATACAGAAACTAAAAGCTTCAATATCACATGAAAATATACATAAAATATTTTTATTAAATTATATTTTATTTATATATTTATATTAAGTTAACTTCTCTCACATAATAACCTATAAAAACTTGAACTAAAGCTAATTTATTGAGTTGTGTTATTATTTATCTATAGGATATCAGCAAGTCCCACTCCATGGCAATAGCTGAAATTCTTTGCTAAGTGTTTTTACTGTAGCATACATTTTATGCGTTGGCTACATAAAAATTGTTATTATACGACCGCTTTTTAGCTACTTGACTTTTATTTTCATTTTTTAACAGACAGCGCTCAGAACACTCCAAAGAGGGAACCGCAGCTAACCAGTTGTAGAGCATTTACAGCGAATGATGGACGAAGTCTTAAGAAAATGTTGCAAAGTTAACAGAAAATGGCAAGAGACGAGCATTAAATTCAACTGCGCAGTAAAACGGCCCAAATGAGTAGCTCAATTAAAAATATAATCAGCGAAACGAATGAGCATAAGCGAAAGGCAACCTGGCCAAAACGGCGCGTTTATGCAAATATTGTTAGGAGTAAGACGTAAGAAAAACAAAGCTTTGCTGACTACTCGACATCGATAAATATCGATTAACAAGCCAACAAGTCTTAAAAGTTGTTAAGAGTTAAAAGTCAAGCAATAAATAAAATTTGATATTCAAATACAGAGCACCTCTTAGCCTAACACTCCCAACTAATGCAGTTTTAATGTTCATGCTTTGTGCGGGCGACGCCTTAAAATAAAATTGAGCTTAGCACGCGACTCAGTTTCGGCTTTGCTGCTTAGCTGCTCCACTTCACAGCTCAAAATTGCCAGACAGAAGCGAAGAACTGAGCCGTGTCTATATATATGTGTATATATATAGTATATATATCAGCTAAACATCTAGCTATAGATGAGTGGGCGTGCGTGTGTCTTTGACAAATGACAAATGATTATGAGCAGCTTGTGTACCCTGTAAACAGTGAATGGAAATAAACTGGGCAAGAAATGACAAGTGCCGTTAGCAACAAAGTTTAATTAACAATTTTTTTCTATTTCTATTTCATGCTAAAAATAGTAGGCAAATATATTAACAATAAATTGTTTCTATTTTTAATTTTATATAACTAATTTTTTACTCTCTTTGAGCAAACTAATTTCTCGGCTTCTCAGCTGCAAAAAATAGCTATAAACCTATATATATTAAGGGAATAAGGTATATTTGTTCGATGTGAACAGCGAGCTGAGTCGAACTAGCATTGTCCGTCCGTCAGTCTATCAGAATCGAGCAAAGCTCAGGGTATCTGCTAGTGAGAACTCCCTTCTAAAGCTGTCTTATTTCTTCTCTTATAAAGTTAAACAATTTATATTAGTTAAACATACTCTATCAACTCTTTTTAGTCACATATAACTTTCATTGAAGAGCTTTCAACTCGTGGCGCGGCATCTTCTAGTCGGGTCGCCCTTCACATTTTCAATTATTTGCTCGTTCTCAGTGCTGGCTGCCGGCCAAATGGCAAATGCTGCTGCAAACTGCAATCAGCAGTCAGCATATCAAGCAGTTTAATCATGATCGCAACTGAAGGGTGAAAGTCGACTGTGCTGTGTGCACTCTCAACATTAATCCTTGGCAGCGAAAGCCTTGACATATGCAAAGCATGCATCGATACGCGAGCCGCTGGCCTTGCCATGAGCTAAAGCCACTGCAGCCTTATCAATTAATGAACTTGTCGCACCTGTACGTCCGTATGAACCGTCAGCTTTAGAAATATGAGACATGTTTTGTATGCCGTGACTTCCTTCATTTGTGGGCCTTTTACCTTTACCTTTTGCCTTTGAGCTGCCTCCATTCAGCTTTATGTGAGGCCAGCAGTAATGGCAGCTGGCAGCTGGCAGCTGGCAGCTGGCAGCGCGGAAACGCCATTTCGCTAGCAACTGAGTAAACAGGACGTAGCTGGGCTCATAAATGCCAACAACAATTGTCGGTTTATGTGGCTCAACGCACATAAAAAATGCGCTTAGGAATTTCAACGAATAAAAGATACGCTCACAGATCTTTGTAGTAGTGAAAGCAGCCGTAATTTGGTACTGTCACGTCGTAGCTCTAGCTGAGCATGATTCTTATTTGTGATTCTTGTTGTGTTCTCATAGACCCTTTAAGGGTTTTTTCATGCAGCACAAGCTGTTCACCTTTGGATCAACTTTGCTGCATCATGAGCTGCTGCATCATTATCTGACTCATCAGCAAGTGAGCGGTGCTGATGATGGCAATCGTGACATGATCAATACAGGCTCATCCATGCCATGATCTGCAAGCATTTGCCAACTAATTCAAGCAGCATTGCTTCAAGCTCGATTGAATTTCGCCACGTTTCACATTCATTAATCAATTTAGCCAAATGCTTCAACCTGGCTAAAAATGATTAGTTAGCATTTCTTTTAACTGCAAAAAAGCTGCAAGCGTTCTGTCTTCTGTCCTAACATTTGCTCTGCTGACAAAAACCTGCTGAGCAGGTGTTTGATTTTCGTGCTAACGTTTTAATTTCACAATTTTCTTGGCTTCACTTTTGACAAGTCTCAGAGCTGACATTTGGCAAAGTTATGTAAGAGCAGCTGCAACAACAATCTGAGTGCTTCTCTAACTCTCAGCTGACCGCAAATCCCTTTGAAAAAAGCTTCAACTGATGCCTGATTACTAACTAAAACCTGTTGGGCTCTCATACATCAACTTAGCTAAACTTAAGTCATTTTATCATAAATCTTGAGTTGAGCCTCAGATCGTCGCTTTCGCTAATTCCTTTACGGCCTAATCTCTCATATGCTCATATAATTTATGTGCTTTTCAGTATCCTGCGGGAACAGAAACTAGTGACACCTGCAGCAAGGGTATAGCCAAGAGTAAAGCCCTGACAGTCGGAGAAGTGTGACACGTTCTGATATTTATGTGCCTCTGCAGCATTATAGTCGAAGCCATTTATCAAGGTCGCACAGCCTGCTTTCATATGCATGACATAAAGGAGCAGTAGCTGGAGTAAAATAAATAAATAAAAACATATGCGCATAATCCGCAGCTGACGTACTGCATAGGATCATGCGGGTTAACCTTTTGCATGCGGCATTAGCAGCGGCTGCTGGTCAGGCAAACCAACGCAACAAAGCTGTTGTCACTGCTTTATTATCCTCATCAGCGATGCTTTGAACTCGAAAGAACTTGAGATACTAAGAAGAAAGAAAATTTGAAAGAAATTCACAGAAATTTCATTGAACTGAGAAGATTTTCATTTTAGGCTGGATTTTCATTTAAATACGCAGATTTTCAGCAATTTGCAGAGTTGTTTTTGGGCTGCTTTAACGAGTTTTTTGTTTTCATTTAAATACGTTTCCGTATACCCTAGAAGTATAAAGTTGGCTGTTGTGTGCTTTGGAAATTTGTTTAGCTGGCAGATAATAAAAAAAATAAATTCTTTAATTGATTTTTAAGTTAATTTTCTTGAAAATATTAATTTTTGGTAAAATTTATAATTTTGATTTATATTTTTTTCATGCTTGACTTCTTTTTCAATATTTATTTGATGCCTTTTAAAAATCGTTTCACATCACTTAAATATTCTTAAGTAATA